ACTGCCACCACCACCCTGTCACTGTCACTGTCACTGCCAACCCCACCCTGTCACTGTCACTGTCACTGCCAACCCCACCCTGTCACTGTCACTACCACCACCACCCTGTCACTGTCACTGCCAACCCCACCATGTCACCGTCACTACCACCAACACCCTGACACTGTCACTGCCACCCCCACCGTGTCACTGTCACTGCCACCAACACCCTGACACTGTCACTGCCCCACACAGCACCCCTGGGGGATGCTGCCACCTCAACCCTCATCATTGTCACCGCCACAGCCACTGGCACCACCTGCCCCATGTGGCACCCCTGGGGGTTGAAGATTGTCACCCCCACTGGCACCACCCACTCTGCACAGCACCCCTGGGGACGAGGACGTTGCCACCACCCCCCCAGAGCCATCTGCGGACAGGGGCACTGGCACAGGGCTTCCAGAGCAGTCTGGAGACAGAGTTCCCAGTGTGACACCCAGCACAGTCCTGTGGCACAGGGTCCCCAGCGTGGCACCACTTGGGACAAGGTTCCCAGCGGGGGGTGCCCAGCGTGGTGCCATGGCACAGGCTCCCCAGGGTGGCACTGCCTGGGGACAGGGTCACCAGTGTGGTCCTGTGGCACAAGGTCCCTGGCTCGGCTCAGTGTCCCCAGCCCAGTGTCATGGCACAGAGTGCCTGGGCACAATGTCCCCAACACACTGCCCTGGCATTGGGTCCCTGGGTGCAGTGTCCCCATCCTGGTGCCATGGCACAGGGTCCCTGGACAGTGTGCCCAGCCCAGTGCCACAGGACAGGATCGATGGCCACAATGTCCCCAGCCTGGTGCCATGGCAGTGTCCCCAGGCACAGTGTCCCCAGCCCAGTGCCATGACACGGGGTCCTTAGGGACAATGTCCCCATCCTGCTGCCACGGCACAGGGTCCCTGGGCACAATGTCCCCAGTCTGGTGACACGGCAGCGTCCCCAGGCACAGAACCCATCCCAGCGCTATGACACAGGATTCCTGGGCACAGTGTCCCCCTCCTGGTGCCATGGTAGTGTCCCCAGGCACAGTGTCCCCATCCTGGTGCCATGACACGGTCCCTGGGCACAGTGTCCCCAGCCTGGTGCCATGGCAGTGTCCCCAGGTACAGTGTCCCCATCCCGGTGCCACAGCAAAGGGTCCCTGGGCACAATGTCCCCAGCCCAGTGCTATGACACAGTCCTTAGGGACAATGTCTCCATCCTGCTGCCATGGCAATGTCCCCATCCCGGTGCCACAGCACAGGGTCCCTGGGCACAGCATCCCCAGCCCAGTGCCACAGCAGAGTCTGCAGGCACAGTATCCCCAGGCCAGGATCCCTGGGCACAGTGTCCCCATCCCGGTGCCACAGCCCGGTCCCCCCCCACCTTGTGCCCAGCACGCCTGGCACAGTGTCCCCAGCCCCCCCGGGTGCCCGTGTGCCCCCTGCCCGCAGTGCCCATGCTGTCACTCACCACAGCCGACCTCGTCGCTGCGGTCGGGGCAGTCGGGCTCCCTGTCGCACTGGTAACTGGCCCGGATGCAGCTCCCGCTGGACACGCACCGGAATTCCGCCGGCCCGCACTCCGCGCCGGGCGCCTTGGTGGCTGCAGGGGGGCACGGTGCCAGGCGTCAGCCGTGCCCCTTGTCCCCCCCCGTGTGTCCCCAAGCCCCCCGGCACTCACGGCAGTCGCTCTCGTCGGAGCCGTCCCCGCAGTCGTTCTCGCCGTCGCAGCGCCAGAGCTTGAGGGCGCAGTGCCCGTTGGCACATTTGAACTCGTTGGGCTCGCAGGGGGACGGGGTGCCTGGGGGGACAGGGGGTCAGCACCCAGGGGTGCCAAGGCGGGACGCTGTGCCCAGATAAAGCCCGGATCTGGTCAGAGCACGCAAACAACACCAGCTCTCAGTGGGGAGTCGCTGCCGGTGCCAGGGGCTGCTTCGGGCTTGGACTGTGCCAAACCCAGCCTGGTTCACCCACTGCAAACACACGGCCCTGCTTCGGGAAGCGGGGTCTGGCAGATAAGCTGCTCCCTGGCCCGGGAATACACGGGAAGTGGTCGCAGCCCCAAGGGTGCCAGAGCTCAAGGAGCTTCGGGATGATCCTCTCAGGCCCAGGGAGATGGTCCCAGGCAGGGCCAAGGGTTGGACTTCACGGTCCTTGTGGGTCCCTTCCAACCCAGATAAACAGCCTGGGATAAATAACCCACTGTACACAAACACCTCTGATTTGCCATCGTTCACATCTGCAGGACAAAGAGGTTTAATCCCACCTCTGTAACTCGACCCTTTGACATAATCCAAGCCTAAGATTTGATCCAGTCCCACTTGGGCTTTTCTCTGGGAGGGAGTTTAAAAACCAAGCGGGTTTTCTGCACCTCAGGACTCAACAGGAGCTTCTCAAATAACTTTGCCTGAGCCTTTCCCTCCCCCCAGGACAGGTTAAAAGAGAGACCTGCCCACGATCCTCATGTGAGAGTCACATCAATCCCCACTCAATGACCGTTTCTTTGGCCAGCTTTGCTCCAATTAATTAACTCAACTGCTCTGATACAGAGCACTATTGTATTTTAGGCTATATTTTACTCTACTAGGAGTTTGTAGCTTTTACACTGTGTAGTAAATAATTCTGATTAAGATCTTTAGTCTGTTCATTTGCCATAATAAATAACTCACTTTAAACAAACATATCTGCTTTGCCATCAGGACAAAGTGGTTTAATCCCACCTCTGCAATTCCTCACGTTTAAACTTTTGGCAGAATCACAGACTCCCAGACTGGTCTGGGTTGGAGGAGACCCACAGGGATCATGGAGTGAGTGGCCCAGGCAGGGCTCAAACCCTGCCCTTGGTGTCACCAGCACCAGGCTCTGCCCAGCTGAGCTCAGCTCACCTCGGGCTCGTTTTGTTTGCTCATTTGTTGTAACAAATAATTAATTTGAAATAAATCAATTTTATATAAACACCTCTGATTTGCCATCATTCAAACCTACAGGACAAAGTGGGTTAATCCCACCTCTGTGACTCAACCCTCGGACATAATCCAAGCCTAAGGTGGGATCAGCCCCTCTTGGGCTCCTCTCTGGGAGAAGTTTGGGAACCAAGGGGGTTCTCTGCCCCTCAGGATTCAACAGGAGCTTCTGGAATAACTTTGTCTGAGCCTCAAACTGCACCCAGGGGTGCCCCCGAGCTCTCAGTGTCACCGCCACTGTCACCGTCACCATCCCTGTCACTGTCACCACCACTGTCACCTTCATCATCACCATCACTACTACTGTCCCTGTCACTTTAACCACCACTGTCACCGTCACTATCACTGTCACCATCCCTGTCACTGTCACCGTCCCTGTCACCGTCACCATCATCATCAGTACCGCTGTCACTGTCAGTCACTGCCACCGTCACTCTCACCACCACTGCCACTGTCACTGTCCCTGTCACTGTCTCTGTCTCTGTCATCATCACTGTCCCTGTCCTGGACACTGTCACTGTTACTGCCACTGTCCCTGTCCCCGTCCCCATCCCCATCTCATCCCATCCCCATCCCATCCCATCTGATCCGTCCCATCCTATCCTGTCCCATCCCATCCCATCCCATCCCATCCCATCCCATCCCATCCCACCCCATCCCATCCCATCCCATCCCACCCCATCCCATCCCATCCCATCCCA